ACTGCAGCCACGCCGAACCGTCGGCCAATCGTCATTCGTTAGCGATCCAACCGGCGCCGAGGAGGCCGGCAGCACGGCGGCCACCGACTGCTCGGTTGGTGGGGAGGGAGCTTGGGGTGCCGGCCGCGAGTCCAGCGCGCGTACTGCGAGTACAACTGATAGGCCAAATGACCTCAGAAGTTCCAGAAACCGAACAGCCGTCATTTCCTCGATCACATTAGTGCGCGGCAACGAAGCTTTCAATTTCGATGCGTACGGTATTTTTGGCTGGGTTTCGTTATAAAGCTCTCGAGCCTTACGGAAAGATGCGTTTTTACAAGTTTTAATTGATATGATTTCCTTTTCCTTGGCGTATGCTGGGCATGCAGGGTCGTACGACGCATGCGGAACATGGTCCTTGCCGTAGTTGACGCAGTGGGGTTTGTCAGAAGTACAGACTTCGCTTACGTGCTCCAGAGGCGCACATTTGCCAAACGCTGCACGGTACCGACAGCTGGGTTTGGTGTGACCAAATCCCTGGCACTGGTAGCACCGCATGGGTTTGGGCACAAACTGACGAACTTTCACACGGACGTATCCCACACGTATCTCGGACGGTAAGTCAGGACGACTGAATGTGAGTATGGGACTGTTGGTGGGCACCAACTCTCCTCCCGTTCTGACAAGTATCCGTCGAGCGGCGGTCACTCCAAACTCCGACAGCTCCTCCACGATCTCCTCCTCGTCAACGTCACGCAGATCAAAACAGTTGACCACGCCCCCTGTATGAATTTTTGGTGCTGTGTGGTGTCATTGACATTGGCACTGTTTTTCCCCGCTTACCAGTCCCATCTCGAACACTGTACGAAAATTCAGTTGCTCCCATAGCCCGACATGCCTCCAAACCACTAGCAAATTCAACTTCTATTTTTCTATCCCGGAGCTTGTCACATGATACATTTTTTTCTTCAAAACTGTCGTGGCCATTTCGTTTCTGAAACGGTGACAGGGACGCCAACCTACTCTCATCACTTTAGAAGGCAAGTATCAATGGTCCTTGGGTAACAGAATCTTCTCCGCACCCTTGGGTTATCGTGGTCCGACCCCCTTTTGGAGGACGGGTGTTTTTGGAGTTAAAGGATGCCATGCAAAGTAGATTTTCTTTCGGCACCGGGGCGCCCCACTCACCACGGAGCCCAACTGGAGGACGGCCAAACACTCGTTCGGGAGGTGGTCGCCGCTAGGGCTACCCCGGTGCTTACGGGGCGAACGACGCCTCCCACACGGCCAGGTGTATCCGGGGAGGCCTCTCCCCGTCCTGACCGTGGTTCAGCGCCGCCGCCCCTTGGCCCTTTAAGCCGCTGCGCACGGCACGGCCAGACGGCCCAAGCGGAGACCCGCACGGAGCAACCAGCCGCAACGCGAGCGACAAGCCGCTAGACCCGTGTGGGGCCCCACGGGCCTCCGCGCCCCGGATATCCTGGCCAAAGTGGAGTGATGGGACGCACCGTGAATGACCCGCACTATGCGCCCCTCAGCCACCAGGATCCGATCAACCCGGGGACGTGGGCGAGGGGGCACGGCGACCCCGATAAAACGAGGATTAAGAGTGATGAGTGGGCCGGATGCAGGAAAGCGGGTAATGGGAAGGAAGCGGGCCGGACAAGGGGCGGGAGCTTACGTACCGGCAGGGTCGCTACGCCCTGAGAGGAGCAGCTTGTGCTGTCCACCTGTTACCGGAGCTGGGACCCGAGGGGGCGCTAGTCCCCTACATCGGCCGAAGCCGGTGCCCCTGTGCGGATCTCAATGAGATTTAGCTACTATCTTGCGCCTATTGCACGCTTGAACCACATGTGACATCCACCCGACCCCACGCGGCTGGTTGCCTCCCAGTCCAGTCTAGCTTATTTGATACGCACCAATAATATGCCTACGCAAATAAACCTCTGGTTTCGTACAGTGTTATGGATTTGCTTCATCAATGGTCAGGAGTAAAGTTGTACCTGACGCTTCGAAAGTACCATTGGCTTTTTACAGAGGTGAGTTCGCAGCTGGAAAGGTTCAGAACAACTGAACTGTTTATTTTCATGCAAGCGATGTATAAATCCTGACTGATAGCTAGATCATATTTGGCATTAATCGCAATGCATTTTAGCCACTTGGCACTATTCCAATGCATTTTAACCACCGACTAGCATTCATTGCTTTAGAGTGCGGCATCCAAATTGTAGCAGCCATTACAGAGTGAGCCTGCGGCTCATTCTGAACGCTTCGAAGCCGCCATTTTGGTGTTGCTGCTTTATTGTACGTAAAACCTGAAATGAAAGTGAAGCAATAATAATAACTCGAAAATACATACAACCTGGTATGATGAGCAATACATATAATGACCTGACACAACAATAACGTAACATTATAAGTCAATACAGTTACTCACTCTTAGCGGACGCGTTCCTGGCATATCGTGGCCTGGTCACATTCTGAGCGGCGCCACAAGAACCGCTCACCTTCAAACGTCCCGCGGCACCAGGAACTCAATCAAGAGCGCCTTCTCTCGCCACCATCTCGCGCCACGAACAGCGCCGTTTATGTTGTGCGCCATCTATCACTGACGCGACGTCGCCTACAAGCGGCGGCCACACAATTGATTTTTGCGGGGTCGTCGCTTCCTCCACAGCGCTCACGTAATCGCTGTTTAACAACAATTGTCCCCATCATTTAATTATCACAGGTGCACGAAGCAAACGGTTGTATGCATAGCATTACAAGATGCGGAGAAGGTCTGGTCTGTCATCGCTTTCAAAAGCCGAAAAATCGGAAAATTATGTTTATTTTGTACGGCATATATCATTGCTTAGAAAACCCCATTCAAGTGAATGATTGCCGAAATTTTCCCTATTTCATTACGCCTTACCTGCAGCCGTAAACACTGAATCTTGAATGCTAAATGTCACGTGTAATTTAACCGTCATCCATTATCTAAAAAAAACTTCAATATAGCCCCCGTTGTTCAGGATGTCCTGCCGCAGAAAGCAAATCAAGAACCTGGGTAACAGCAGAATTCACGAATAAGAGCTTCCGGGAGCCGCTCTTTGGCTCTGACTGACATTTAAACTACAACAAACCCGAACGATGAACTCAGGAGGCCACACTGAATCAGCAACACGGCAAGGAACCCGTAAAATTCATGGCTTTGCATTCATTCAGCGTTTGCCATCCTATCACATGCTCCGTAGTTAAGTTACTAAAATAAGGGAATGCAAATCCAGGCAAATAAGAAACTTGCCCACAGCGTAGGCAAGGCAGTAAGCTATTTCTTAGTGAAGTGTGGCTCAAAGCAATTAAACCTGGATGCTTGAAATGTGCACTGGATCTGTTTGCTTACAGACCAGCCGTCATGAAATCAATTCAGTTACTAAAAATCCTGCGGAATGATACAACGGCCGTGTTCCAAATGATTTATCGACGACTTTCTGAGTCTGAACGCAAATAAATGAACGATGACCCTGTCCTGCTTAGTGTGTCTCACGGGGCTTCCGAGTAGGGTTTCTGGCCTCGGTGCGATACATTATGTAAAGTCATGACATAGAGTGAGCCCCAATGCCCGTTGGTTGTTCCGAAATTACATTAAGAACTATGCGCGTCGCGACAGCTATGCTATCTAACAGCTATGTGTCGAATCACAGAGTGAGTCCTTTCTGAGTGCAGTTTCCGTAAAAGGCCATGCTAGCTCTCAAATTAATGACAGGTGGTAGGAAATGCGTTGCAACGCACGTTTATTTCCACCAAAGCCGATTCGTGCTATAACACGTAAAGATTCGCGCTATTCCCAAAATTACTGACCAAGGATTTCGGAATAGCGTGCAATGTGCGTCATTTCTTTCACCAGGTTTAGATGAAGAGCTGTACACATTGCAAATAAGTAACTACGTGTCGAACGAAATAATTGCGTCATTCCTGATCCCCATTTCTTTAAACACTTGGGCTAGTTAGGCAATTGTTTCTGAACCGAAATGTGCGTTTACGGCAGTGCGCGCTGCAATTAAAGTGCAGCATTCCAACTAGCAAAGTCCGTCCTTTCGAACATAATTTTACGTGAAGACCCTTACAGACTACGAGTTTCACTGATGCATGTCGTCAAAATGTGGATACATGACTTGATTTCCGTCCGGTTACACCGCGTCCATTCCTGGCTTCCTTCCTAAAATCAAGACTGGTCCGTGAGCCTAATCTAGTAAAATATAACACACATTCACACATCTAAGCACACGGCGCTTATTTACATGCACGCAGTGCAGCTCCTCTCCGCGATAGTCTGAATGACATATTCTCACATGTAAAGTGACCTGGCCGGCGTCTGACCTTATTTACATGCACGCAGTGCAGCTCCTCTCCGCCATAGTCCGAATGACACAATCTCACATGTAAGGTGACCTGCCCGGCGTCTGACCTCGACCCTCATCCTCTTCGCACGCGATTATCGGATGGGCACGTCATATGCCCATCCTGTCTGGTTAGTCCCCATTTAACTGGCAATTACCTGGCAGGGTTTCCGCACCCAGTTGGCGTCTGGTCAATGTAGCAAACAGGTGGGGGGGGGGGGGGGCAGGAAACATGGCCGAAGAGGGGTGGAAACGGAGAGCAGACTGCATTGCCTCAGCCCTTCTTCGCAGCTCCTCCGCTCACATGTTGGTGGCTGCAGTCGCCGAGTGCAGAGTGCTCCCGTTCACTCCGAGCCCCTCAAGTCCCAGAGCTTCTCTCTCCCGAAATCGTGGTCTTCTCCCTGAATGTGGCGCTCCCCCCGGTTTTGTCCGACAAGCTCCTGCTCCAGGTTCCGGCCGCCACCTAAGCTCGCTCCCATCCATGCTTAAGCTCATGTCCGTTTTGCATGGGCTCTTTCTTGGCCAGGGACAGGCCCAAGGCCACGGAGAGCGAGCGTTGGTATGACCAGCGGTGGCGCCTGACCTTGAAATTGTCGTGGCATTGTACTGCGTGGATTGGCCGGGGCTCGGTATCGAGCTCGGACCGGGGCGCGGGTTGATCAGCTGGCTCGGCTGTGGTCTGCTGCTCGGCTCTGCACTTGGCCGTCCGCCGTTAGGTAGGAAAGTGCACCCTGACCGGTGCTGGGCCATTTTGGATTATATAATTTTCCTTCTCATTTGTCGTTGTCAACTAGCATTATAGTGCTTAACATCTACAGCAGAATTTTCAACAGAATTTACACAATACAATTTCCATAGTCCAGGTGCTTTGGCCAACACCTTTCTAAGCAATGTCACTTATGTTAGCAGGATATTGTTTTCCATTATGTACCACTAACAATGTTTTATGCTCAATTTATATTTGGGCCAGAATCATTACAGGGCCTTGGCCAGAATTAAGGGAAAAAGGACAATGCAGGGTTGCAATGAACTTCGTACTTGCAGGTTGATGGCTGGTCAGCATTCTAGTGTTGCTCAGCAGTCCCTTTCAGACTGGAGCCCTTTGGTCTAGTTGGCTGGGGTGCCAGTGGTTCGGCTGGTGACTGATATTTCAGGAAAAAAGTTCTGCAGTTTGAACCTATCCATTTGTCTTTAACTTAACCTGCCCCTTTGGCTTTAACTTAACTGTTATTTAAGTATTTGTGTATAGCAAGGCAAATCCCTTAATGTTTACCTTTTCAGTTTATGATTGAGCTTGGCATGTGAGGAAAGCCTATTATGGAGTCAATGAAGAAGTTAACTCATACTTGCCTAGCTTTAGTGATATTATGTATGGCAGAACTGGCCCAGAATGTCCCCTGCCATACTGCTGGGATGTCATTTGTGTGGTGTGGATTTCAACATTTGATTGTTGTTTTTTTTTTTGCTTGTTTCTGGGCTCTTTAGCTCCTAGGGCTCTCAATTTCTGAATTCTTCACAAATGTACCTTGTAATTTTTTCCTCAAAATCATAGGTAAGAAAAAGGATGAAAAGGACCCTGTCTACAGCAATCAAAGCATCCCATGATATACTACCCACAGCTACAAGAGAGATGCTGCACCCAAGCAATGCCAGAAGCTTAATGTCACCTCACACAAAGCATCCTTCCAATGCACCATAAAGGCCAACCCTGCTCATCGACATACATAATCCACCTGCCCTCAACCCTGCATGCCCTCTAAGGCAGCACTTGACAAACTGTACTCCAAAGAACACTACATCCTAATACAGTGCATGGCCAGGGAAAACAAAGAACAGAATGTCCTGTGTGCATGCTGCCACAGTGTTTCTTGATGAGGCTGCTGTGATGCAAGACTGAAATACAGAGGTGTGGTGAAACACTTGGTGCCTCATTACAGAAAATGTGTAATTTATACTGGAACTGGAAGATAAAACAATTTGATTATTTAACACCAATTTTGAACAGAATTTATGAGCAAAGCATTGATTGTCATATGCAATAATATATATATATATATATATATATATATATATATATATATATATATATATCATCAATATCTTTAAGATCAATGGGTATCTTAACCCCCTCCACCACACTTGGTAGCTCAATCCTTTCACCAATCTTGAGATTTGGATATGAAATGTATGGAAAGGAAGTGGTGAGGATTCACAATATACAAAAGTCAAAATGCCAAATATATACAAAGTGGAAAAGTAACAGCAAACCTGCTCCTGTTCATTGAAGATCATTGCCTACAACTTAAAAGCTAGAACCTGATAACCAAAAGCGTCTGCTTATCATTCCAGGATAGTGATGGTGTTAAGGATAGGTAGTGGGGTGCCAAGATAGTTAGGTTAGTTAGGGTGTTGTTATATACATGGGTTACATGGTTAGGGTTAGGGTGTTGTTATACCGTAGGTTACATTGCGACAAATAAGTGCAGGATGTTCGGCGCCAATCTTTGAGCTGTGTTCCCAGCCATGTGCACAGCAAATATCTATAAATAAAAATAGCTACATTCGTGCCATGAATTCTTCATCAGCATTCTCAGACCAGATTGTTCATCACTGTAAGGAGTCTGTACTGAGAGCCATGTGATTTGGGCGTGGACAGGCCGTGTTGTGAAGGCGGTGATCAGACGCCGCAGACCTGCGACATGGCGGAGCCCCAGCGGCGGGCGGCGGTGGTGCGCCGCTCCTCATGCGCTGACAGTGGCCCGCAGGCCAAGCGCCAGCGGTACACGTCGGACGCGAGCATCGTGGTGCCCACTCAGGTGCGTACCTTGGCGGCGTCGCCAGCTGGCGCCGGCCGACGTCGGAGCTTGGCGGTCATGACGCGCCCGCCATTGAAATGCGCTCCAGACGTGGGCTTAAGTTCTGTTTTCTCCGCTACAGTTGCCGCAGAATGGCGTGGTGCAAGCGAAAGCAGCATTCAACCTTATAATGAAACTGTTGACAATCATAAGCCACTGAGAGCAATAGCGAGCGTCCGTCCCTTGACAGTCGTCGACTGCCGGCCGAAATTGTGTACATTTGTGCGTGTGTGATACATGTGTGATATGCTGTGCGTTACGCGTTACGCAGCTGGCCGAGTTAACACGTACGACAGCGGCGCATGGCCAGTGCAGATGTGGGCCCCGGCGAGTGATGCGTCGAGGTTAACGCTTTACTCACCGCTCGTAGCGACCTGGAAAGATCCTGCAGGTGACGCTGAAGAACTTCATGTGCCACGAGAACCTCGAGATCAAGCTCAACGAGAGTGTCAACTTCATCACGGGCGAGAATGGCAGCGGCAAGAGTGCCGTGCTGACCGCCATCATGGTGGGCTTGGGCAGCCGGGCCAAAGGAACCGACCGGGGCTCCTCCCTCCCTGGTGAGACGGATTCCTCCATCCGGGGTGGGGTATTGGGCTGGCCAGCCTATTCTTCTCAGCTGGGGCTTCCGGGAGCTGGCCACTGGTGCAGCACAAAACAAGGTTGGGTCGGCTGGCAGTGGCGCTCTCGACTGGACATTTCTGCTAGCTTCAGTTAGCTCTCCCCTGATAGAAGAGTTGAGTGGGAGGGGCGGGGGTAGGAGCGGGGAGTCGATGTGACATCCCTAGCACTGGTTAAACGTTGTTAAATCAGCACATGGATGAGTGTCGAGGGACCGCATGCAACCCTTTGAATCGTGATTTTTCTGCGATTTGTTTGTGGAGATGTTGACACACAAAGAAACTGCTTTTCAATGATTCTTGACCTTCCAGTGGTCTCAAAATTTTATGAGTTTTTTCAACAAGTGTCATAATCAAACCCAGCACACAGAAGGGTCGGATAATGCCAAAAAGTAAATTTATAATAAAAATAGGGTAACCATCATGTACACCTACCTGAACCTTAATCAACCTGGACTCAAACTTTGTATTTTAAAACAACAACGAAAAACACCACTTTGATGTGCTCAACGGTCATGAATAAGTGCATTCTGGCGTTGCCCGTCCACTGGCAGTGGTCTCAAACAGTGAAGTATTTCTAACTGGTGAAAACGGCTTAATGAGGTGTATGTTGGGAACAATTTTCCGGGATCTAAAATTGTGGAGAAAAAACGCCACAAACTTGGACCGTGAGATCGGTCAGTCGGTGACCGGCTGGTGCCACAGTTGGTGACCGGCCCGTGTCACAGTCGGTGACCGGCCTGTGTCACATTCGGTGGCCGGTCTGTGCCACAGTCGGGACCGGCCGGTGCCACAGTCGGGACCAGCCAGTGCCACAATAGGTGACCGGTCGGTGTCACAGTCGGTGACCGGCCCGTGTCACAGTCGGTGACCGGTCCTGCTCCTCAGCGCTGATTCGGAACGGCCAGTCGTCGGCCGAGGTGACAGTGAAGCTGTGCAACACTGGTGAGCTGGCCTACAAGAAGGACCTGTACGGCGACGCCATTTTCGTGAAGAGAACCATCCGCAAAGACGGTTCCTCCTTCTCCATCAAGTCCGCTGCCGGTCAGTGGGGAAGCCGGCCGGAGAAACGGCTTCAGTCCTGGGCTACGACGTGGGGAGCAATGAGACAGTCTTTTATTGCAGTCGGTCCGTGTCGTTGGCGTATGACATGAGGTGAGTGCCGAGGCGTGGAGAGTCGCTCAGTTATGCAGGATAGTCTCTGAGTAGACTCAGTTACCGGGACAATGAGGCAGTCAGTGGTGCTAACAGCTCAGGGAGGAGTCATTCTGCATTGAATAATGGACCAGGAACTAACAGTGGGGGAGTCAGTTGGTGGGGCAACGTTAGAAGGGGAGAATCATTGGATGGGTCGCTTAGAGTCTTACTGAGACATTACGGAGTCCGGCAGGAAGGCGTCAGACGTTAGAGTCCCATTGGGACATTTATGTAATCCGTCACTGAGGTGTAAGTCATAAGTCTTAGTGGGGCATTTATGGAGTCAATCCCTGAGGCGTCGGGCATCATAGTTTCACTGGGCCATTAATGCAGCCTATCACTGAGACGCGAGTCATAAGCCCTGTTCCTGGTGGCCCTCACGCTACCCCCATTCCCAGCGAGGGAGTAGGCTCAGTCTCCAGCCCCTTAAGTCTTAGGATATGTTTTGCCGATCTTGAAAAGGCTAACAGAGTTTGATTTCTTGTGCTGGGATGCTCATGATTTCTGGAAAGAGGAAAAATTGAAGATAAGGGAAGTCACCAGAGGTGAAATATATGATGTTCTTGAGACGGCATGTTTGACGTTTTTCGGCGAATTTAACGTAACCAACACAGATCGTAAAATTATTTAAAAAACAACATCTTACGACAAAATTTCAAAATTGAGAATTCCTGGGCATGCCCAGGAGATCCCAAACAAGGTAATACAAATTGTGAGGGGAGGGAGCATATAGGGAGTTTTTGATCGAGTGTATGCTTGACAAATGGGCTAGTCATTTGATATGTTGCCAGGAGAACAAGCACAAACCAAAGCTGAAGGCATAGGCGGAGCTAGAGTGGCTGTTGCGGGGGAGGAGAGGATATGTGAGGAGTAGATATAGTTGCCCACCATAATGATGTCATGCGCTGTAGATAAAGCATGATACCCGTAAAGCATATGTGGACAGGTGCCATGGCCGTTTCCAGTTTTACTAGAGGTGGGAGTGTGTCACCGGGGGAAACGCGCAGTTGTAGCGGCTTCCCCTGGGCGACCTGTTGTTCTACCGCAGCGGCCTATGGTCTGGCCGCAGCATTCATGTACTATTTTAGCGTACGGTTCTCGCTGTGGTGTAGTTTTATGAGGCGTTGTGTAGTGCAGTGAAGTTAACGATGAAATGCAGCGTTCGGTACTAGGCCTTCACGTTTCATATGTTGCAGAGCCTCTAACCCCCCCCCCCCCTCGCCATCTCTGGCGCCATCTCTGTGTCTAAGTTTTTTTTTGTGCTACGGCTGTGTGCGATTGTGCGCTTGTGTGCGAATATTTTCCTATGTTATCCATTCCTAACATCGTAGTGCTGGTGTATACTCCAGGCTAGGTGTCTTTGCACCCTCTTCCACAAAACCGGAACAAGTCTATGTATATGCATATATATATATGTATATATATATATATATATATATATATATATACACACATATATATTGCATTGCAAGCACGATACCTGCTTGCTGCTATGCTAGTGTTGTTAAAGACCTTAGCATACGTGCTTTCGATAATTAGTTCTGTCTTTGCTCTAGCTTTGTTAATATGATGTTCTGTTCATCGAGATTAAAAGTTATTCGCTGACGTTTGTCATCTATTAAAGGGTCTGACATTCAGAATTAATCACATATTTCATGTTCAAAGATACACACCAAGTGCGAGTAATGTATATGTAGTTACATGTTACAGTTAGAAATAACGATTAGGTACACCCAAGTCAAGTTCGGTCGCCACATTGTGCAGAGCGAATTAGGTGGCTAACTCTGGAAATCACCTGCCCCAAGCCCTCTAACAGCATTGTATGTGTATATATATATATATATATATATATATATATATATATATATTTGCGTTGTAAAAATTATATTCATGGTTCAGGCAGTGTTCTGCACCAGAAGGTACCGGCCTTTGTAAACGCAATGCGGCGCGTATAATTCGAGGGGATTACCGTGTTGCCATGGTGGTCGAATTTCTGTGTGGTCCGTCACAACACCGGGCCCTGGAACACCCCTGTGCCTGAAATGATACCGAAATGTTCGTACAGTGCATCAGAAAGATACTTAGGAATAGCCTGGAAATTTTAACGACGTGGTAATGGTGTATACCAAGCCAACGATTTTGATTGAGCTAGGCGGGGTCATTCATTGAGTCATTGAGTTACAGAGGGTCATTCATTGAGTCAGTGAGTTACATAGGGTCATTCATTGAGTCGGGGGACAGCCTTATGTCGCGACTTTATGCATGATCAATTGCGTGCGTTATTTGCTCCGGGTTGAATAGTGCGAACAGCATTCAGGGTTTAAAGCTCCCCGGAGCAAGTGCGTATGCAGAAGTGCTGGATCTCTTACTTTCACGAACCACATTCAGCTGTGGGGAGGGGGGGGGGGAGGGCGGGCTTCTGGCATTGGTGAACTGGGGTTCTGTAAATTTGATGTTCGGTGCGCTTTGACCTTTGGTTTTACCGATATTTGAGTGGCATGTAGTGAGGAACCTAACGTTTTGTGGATTGTGGTATGGTTTTAACTATTGAAGACGTTTTTAGCTGAAATGTCACGTTTCGTGAAAGATGTTAAATGTTGATGTCTATGTGTTGATGCCTTTTCCCGTGCTCCAGGGAAGAAAATTGCTAGCAAGGGAAAGGATCTGGAAGGTATTCTGGATGCACTGAACATACAGACGGATAATCCCATCACGGTCCTCACGCAGGACACGTCCAAAACCTTCTTGTTCGTAAATGTAAGTATTGCTGCCGTTTCATTGGGTGGTCTATTGATGGATGACTTAACGTGCATTCATAGTTTGTATTATAACAGAACAATCTAGAGTTTAGACTACTGTGGACCGCATCTGTCTCCCAGGTAGGGTTTACTCTCTGGCGGAAGAATTATGTCCCAGTTCTTTTGTGCAGGGATTAGCGTTATTTTTCGGCGTTTCAATGTCATCGAATGTGCCTGGTCATGGCGGAGCAATTCTGTCACCCCCAAACTTAAAACTATGTGCTTTGTAATTTAAAAATGGACACTTCATGCCTTCTTGCTTTTGTGTCAGTTGTTGGTGAAAGTTGTTGGTGGTGATCTGCGTCCATCAACTGATTGTATCATAAAGTAAGGAAGTGAATCGCTGAGGCTTCTGGGGGTGCCGGTAGTGTAGTGGTTAACGCGTCTGCGTTAACCACTGCGCGTCTTGGAAACTAGTCTGGGAAACCAGAGGTACGGGGTTCGATTCCCCACGGTGCCCGATCTTCCTTCCAGGGTGAGGGGCAGGCGACGCCATGTAACCGCAGCAGCTGAGTACGTCGTAAAGCCCCAATTACGCACACACACGCTGAGGCTTCTGGGCATCTGGATTGGTCTTGAGCCTTGGCCATGATCAAAGCTAATGTTGATCAAGGTCAGACGTATAGTGGGCCATGGTCAGAGCTTCTGTTGTCCATGGTCAGAGCCACTGTTGATCATGGTCAGAGCTACAGTTGACCATGATCAGATCTGCAGTTGGCCATGGTCAGAGCTACAGGTGACCATGGTCAGAGCTACCAGTGAGCATGGTTAGAACTAAAGGTGAACATAGTCAAAGCTGCTGTTGGCCATTGTCAGAGCTACAGTTGGCCATGATCAGAGCTGCTGTTGACCATGTTCAGATCTACAGGTGACCATGGTCATGGGTACAGTTGGCCATGGTCAGGGCGACAAATGACCATGGTCAGAGCTACAGTTGGTCATAGTCAGCTACAGGTGACCATGGTCAGAGCTGCAGGTGGCCATGGTCAGAGCTACAGTTGGTCATGGTCAGAGCTACAGATGACCATGGTCAGAGGTACAGATGACCATGGTCAGAGCTACAGCTGTCCATGGTCAGCTACAGATGACCATGGTCAGAGGTACAGTTGGCAATGGTCAAAGCTACAGATGGCCATGGTCAGAGCTACAAATGATCAATGGTCAGAGCTACAGTTGGCCATAGTCAGCTACAGGTGACCATGATTAGAGGTACAGGTGAATGTGGTCAGAGCTCCAGGTGAACATATACAGAGCTACAGTTGACCATGGTCAGAGCTAGCTACAGCTGACCATGATCAGATCTACAGTCGGTCATGGTCAGGCTATAGAACACCATCGTCAGAGCAGCAGCAGGCCCGTGGCCGCAGCTACAGCTAACATGGCCAGAAGATTTTATGGTGATTTTTGAGAGGTGCGTAAGGTGCACACCTGGTTTCGCAGAGTCAGAGCAGCGCATTGGCCTAAAGTGACCCAGATCAACCTTTTTTGTTCGGAACATACCGCCCAGCGGAATTCTTGATGCTTAATCGAATTCAACATCGAAACAATTTCCTAGGTTCTTGGTCACCATGACCATGTATATGTCAAACAAGATCACTGACTTAAAATGAACACCAGACACTTTTTGCTTAGAACGGACTAGAACAGTGACTGTTGTCGCCTTGAATTGGAGAACCAGACGCCCCGAGCAGTCATGCTTTTCTAAAAGAACGTTATCTAGAACAATTTGCTGGTCGCTGACCGATGACCGACCGATGTATAGGAAAATAAGAATGGTCTTATCTTCAAAGTAGCATAAATGAGTTCAGAAAAAACCTATAGATATAATTAAAGCGTGGACTGTCCTCATTACGCGCTCATAAAGCCAGCATTTCATTTAAATCAAAAACGTCATGGAGTGGAACACTTACGAGTGGAAATTTTACACAGCAGGACATTGTAATATATAAGCACAAATTTAATGTTCTGCGTGACGTACAGATGGCTGCTTTATGTGTGTGTGTTGTGCGGAAAGTTTGTTACGAACATGGAAAACTTGGTTCAAGACATTGCAAACAAGTAGAACTTTTAGAACAGCAAAACAAGGAAACGTCTGTTGTTCTACTGCACAACGTTTGTGATTTAAATCGAATGTGCTCCATGTGTATGCTGAGGAAAACTTATGACTGAAATAATTATGCATATATCTATATAATATATATATATATATATGATATATATACGTAAAATATGCCTTCAGTCGCCGCCCTGGACGCCGACTCCGGCCTTTATGGCGTGCGCAGCCTGTCGGAGCTTGTGGCCACCCACTGATCCGGTGAAGTATGCCTTCAGTCGCCGCCCCTGGACGCCCGACTCCGGCCTCTTATGGCGTACGCAGCCTGTCGGAGCTCGTGCCCACTACTGGTCCGGTGGATATGCCTTCAGTCGCCGCCCTGGGCGCTGACTCTGGCCCTGATCAAATCCGGTGTGTGTGTCGCAGGACCCGAGGAAGAAGTACCAGTTGTTCTTGCGCGCCACTCGACTGAAGCACATCATGGACGACTATGAAAGCATCGACCGGAATCTGCGGTCAGCCGAAGACAGCCTGGATACAAAAAGAGAAGGTGCGACAATGCGTTTCTTCCAAACTACGCCAGTCCTTCACATGGCCATGCACTTTTGAAACAACCTTATGACCCAGACAGTTTGCGTACTACCCAGCTGGAATGGAAGCTGGTCGAGCTTTTTTGGCGTTTTCTAACAGCTGGGCCTTCTTTAGCCTCGGTGGCTCGGCATTTAGGAAGCGTTTATTCTAAGATACGTAAGTAACCGGGGCAGCTGTCACCTGCGTGTTCGGTTCCTCCACAAGCAGGCCGGGCGAGGTGCAGTCCCGGGCTCACGGGATAGCGGACGACCACCGTTTGTATGTTCACCAATTTCAGGTCTTTGCGAGGGAGAAGGAGAGGGCCTGAGGAGCTGAAGGATCAAGCGAATAAGGGGCAAAGACAGGAAGAAAATTGAAGACCGTGTGCAGTTGCTGGGGAGCCATTTGTCATGGGCACAGGTGAGGCCTCGCTGGCGTGTTGGTAGCCCGTCACACGGTATGGCACCGTGCGAGGCGTCAACGAGGTCTCTTCAGACTGTGAAATGCAACTCCCCGCATGGTGACGACCAGGGCCGAACTGTACTTTACGAATGCTATTTCTGATTCAACGGTCATGACAAACGTCCCTTTCTGTGTTACGGACGCGAGAACTTCTAGATGCCGGCGGCTTCAGCTTGCGATGCATCATCAGACCCAACCCATGGAGACTGCTTCTTGGGAGCTAGCGCCGCCTAAGAGTGGATGTTTTTGCTATCAAGCACGCAAAAGCAGCGCGTTCTCGCGACCGAAATTAAAAAAGAGCCTTAGAGCACATGGCCTCCTCTGACGGATGCCTGATGACGTTTGCGGATGCTTCTAAGACGGATGCATGTGTAGGATGCGCTTTTGTATGTGGCTCTCACAACACGGTCACCCACGCTGCCTGCACACGCGTCGGTTTTCATTTCCGAGCTTGTAGCCATCACCAACGCTCTGCTTTATTGAAGTGGGCGATGGACGACACAACGCCCAGAGTCGCACACGTGCCACGTTTTAGTAGATTCGCATACTGTAAGGTCTGGTAAAGTGTTCCATTTGGTTTGCGCTGTAGATTTTGCAGTCACCTTGTCACCATGATGCCTTGACTGGCCATCAATACTATAATCGTGACCTGTTCCATGCACCTGCTTGATTGGGGCCAACCGCCGAGCCTCAGCCCGCGGAGGGACCCCTCTACGGGGTTATGTACCGGGCGTCCGGTCGGGGGCCCCCTCCACGGCGTGGTCCCGGCCCACTCGTGGCTGGCGCATGCGGCTACCCCGGACAAGTGGGCGGTTGAGAGGAGTCCGGATAAGCAAGACAGGGGAGATAAGAGGGTTGGATCGCTCAGCGCCATGGCTCGGCGCAGCTGATCGCTGACGGCAGCCAGTAACCTCTCACTATTCTGCCTATCGGTATGCCACCAGCGGAACGAACAATGGATAGACAAGCAATCGCTGATTGGTAGGTATAGCATCCATGGCAAGGCCCCGACATACAAACAGTGCAGAGCTAAACCATAGGCGCACGCACGGCTCTCACACAATGTCCACCACACACAACACTCGTTGGCGCCACCTATCGGTGACCCACTCGTTGATGGTGTTGGCCTCGTGCCGCTACAGGTTAAACAAAGGATAGTAAGCGCCTGAAGTCAATCACAGCACGCATGCACGAGTATTCACAAGTGCATCTGCGTGATGGACAGCTCGGCACGGGGATTGATGAGCGCCTCACGCGGGTGGGAAGGTCCGTTTTTAAGCACATGGGGCTACCGCTGATCGTAGGTGTAGGGGGAACACGCCGATCGGCATTCAAGTCGTCGAGAAGATGCTTCCTTCGTTGCGAGCGCAGCGATGAATCCTGGAATCCCATTTGTGAGAGGACGCCAGTTGTGAGTAGCAGCATTGCACGCAATGCAGGAGTGCAAATCGAGGGCGATTGTGAAGGTTATATGTACATGTAACTTATTTAGCGCTACTTGGCGCTATCTGAGATGTCTCAGCAGTAAGCTTTTGGGTAAACTGAATTGTAGATCAGACTGGGACTGCGCGGAAGCGAAGCAGTGCGGCTGGGGTGGAATAGTCAGAAATACGACAGCGGTGGAAACAACATAACTGACTTGATATTTTGGGCATGTAACTGAAGGTGGGTGTGATAACCAACCCAGAACCAAGCACAGAATGGCATTTTATCTTCACACGGGCTTATTTGCGCACCGTATTATAGCAGGTCGGGATTGCTTTGTCAACTATAGACTCCATTGTTACCATCCGCTCTGCATGGCCATAAAAGTTCTTTAATATTACGTGTGCCCGTTCCGCAATGCAGTAATGCAGAATGTTCGGGGAGCATGCCTTTGACAATCGAAGGGTGTGGTGATGTTTTCAAGGATGTTTTCAGCGCCGACTGCGCT